ATGGAATTATTTGTGAAAACTCACACTGCCTATTTAACACAGTTATGCTTACTACTAAAGTAATCTCTCATCTCTTATTTGTTTTCCTTCTGAATTATGGCATGATTTGCTTCAGATCCTATCAAACAACAAATTTGCGTAAATAAATATAAGTATTTGCGTAAATAAATAATAAATAAACAGTTATTTGATGATAGAATGATAGCGCCAGCTGCTTTTGAATGTTTAACAGAAAGAAACAGATTTAGTTGTAACATTTAAAATTTTGTTTTTATATTTTAGATTTTTGTTACAATAACATTTCAACAACCTTAAAACAACTGCATTGTAACATTAAGGTTTTTCAGCTCAGCTTACATAAATACATTTAAACAAAGAAATTATTAATGCTTGTTTATTTACTTACAAAATGAGGGATGAACTGGGAAAATATTTACAGTTTTTTTCAATTGCTAACACACTAAAATGACACTTTTTAAATGCACTGAAAACAGTCATTCATTTGTTCATTTTCTTTTCGACTTAGTCCCTTTATTAACCTGTGGTCGCCAATTAAAGCAGAATGAACTGCTAACTTATCCAGCATATGTTTTACGCAGCAGATGCATCCAGCTGCAACCCATCACTAAGAAACACCCATACACTCTCATTCACACACATACACTACGGACAAATTTTTTAGCTTACCCAATTTACCAATAGCGCAAGTCTTTGGACTTGTGGGGGAAACCAGAGCACCCTGAGGAAACCCACTCGAATGCGGGAGAACATGCAAACTCCACACAGAAATGCCAACTAACCAGCCGAGGGTCGAACCAGTGACCTTCTTGCTGTGAGGCTGCAGCACTACCTACTGCACCACCGCGTCGACCCGCACTTAAAACAATTCTCTGCATAAAGGCTGATTTATACTTCTGTGTTAAGCGCATGAATATGCTACGGTGCAGCCTATGCATATTTGCGTAGCCCTCGCCATGGCCGTTGATGACGCTGACGCACACCTCTCAAAAAATTTAACTACCTGTCACATTGACCCATAGCGCAAGCTCTGTGTCTGTGCCTGGTCGGCTTGGTAGGGCTGATGAATGTGGGCGGATGTGAGAGCCACATGAGCCCGATGGAGCGAGTGTTTACAAGAGTGGAGTCCCGTGAAGGAGCTCTGGATGGAGACTTTTGTTCTGTGTATGATTAAAGTTGTTGCACGTTCACTGATTTCAGCCTCAAAATGAGCAAGTTTGAGCCACTTGTACATTAAGGTAGCATTCAGAAACAAACAAAACACCAGCGAAGAAACTCGGCACATAAACACCTACTGCCAGCTAGCATTTCGGAAGTGTTATTGCAGAGCAACAGACACATCACGCAGAAGTATAAATGCACGGCTACGCGCAAGGCATGTGCCATGGGTCACGCTGATCACTCGACACAGAAGTATAAACCAGGCTTAAAACACAACAGTCTGACATAAAGTTACATGTTTGCCATTTCAAAACACTGCCATTCAAAATGACACTACATGAGCTAATTCGCAAATTACATGTGCCACCTGGCCAAACACCTCAATGGTTAACCCTCTCAGGCTCGAATTAAGTTTTAGAAACAGGAAAAATCTGATATTTGGGGAAAATTATCATATGGGGTAGTACAATAGAATCCTGACTTTTTTTTTAGAGAGACCTTCACATGCAAGGCGTTCTGGGATGTTGCAGATTTGCAACATTGGCCCAGTGTGGTAATTAGACACTGACGACTGAATATGATATGAACAATAACTTTTTATATACAACTTTTCAAACAATGTAACAAATTGCTTTTCAGTGGCAGAACAACAACAAAAACAATATGGGATCCAAATAAAATATCTTAAATCCTCATTGAGTAGGTCATTTTTCAAGTCACTTTGTCATGTGGTACTTCGAAAAACAGTTTTTGTCTTTTGTGTCATCTGGTGAGCAAGTGGGGAAACTGTTTGTTGCTAATGGACAACCAAGTCCTACAGTGGTACCTCTGAGTAAAAAACTCATAAAATATGTATCTGGAGTAATAAGGTAGTTAATTCTTAACTGTTGCAAATCTGCAATGCCTGCCTTGAGATTAATTGTTAACACTTCAATCAGGATGTAAGCACTATGAAAACAGCACGGGTGAGAATCTTTTTTTTTACAACATCGAAAGACATTGCAGAGAGAAGAAGAGGAAGAGGGAGGTTGAGAATAAGAGGGGAAGAAAGAGTGAGAGGTAGGGGTAGAGCAGGTGGAGGACTTAATTGCCAAAGAAGACAAACACTTTTCAATGAAATCAGAGCAACCTTAGTAGAACATGTCATCAACCATGGGCTGATGATGCGTGAGGCTAGACAGAGAGAGAGTCTCTGTCATCCGGACCTTTAGACTGGAGAACAGGTATGTAACCAAAATTTTACGTAGTACACTTGTAGTATACCCCATGTCATAGTGTATCAGTTGGGTGACACTTGTTAACTTAATGTATGACACCAGCCATTCATGAACTGTACAAGTTTCTTGCACAATGAAGGAAAATATTCATTTTCTTTTCAGCTTCGTCCCTTTAGTAATCCGGGGTCGCCAAAGCCGAATGAACTGGCAACTAATCCAGCACTCATACACTCTCATTCACACACATACTCTATGAACAATTTAGCTTACCCAATTCACCTGTACCGCATGTCTTTGGACTTGTGGGGGAAACCCCAGCACCTGAAGGAAACCCATGTGAAGGCAGGGAGAACATACAAACTCCACACAGAAATGCCAACTGACTCAGCTGAGGCTCGAACCAGCGACCTTCTTGCTTTGAGGCAACAACACTACCTACTGCGCCACCATGTCGGCCCCTTATATCTATCTATCTATCTATCTATCTATCTATCTATCTATCTATCTATCTATCTATCTATCTATCTATCTATCTATCTATCTATCTATCTATCTATATACACACATATATATATATATATATATATATATATATATATATATATATATATATATATATATATATATATATATGAGCAATATCAAACTCGTAGCAGTGCGATATGGCTGTGTATTGGCACTAGTGGGAGGCGTGCGCTAGTTCCTCCACCAGTGACGATATACAGCCATATCGCACTGCTACAAGTGTGATATTGCCTTTATACAACAGTTTGATGGCATAATTGTGTAAATAAAAACAAAATCAAACATGGAGAGTCTCAAAAACCCTTTTGTATGAGGAACTAATTTTTTCCGCGTTGGATTCAAATCATAAGCTAACAGTTAAACAGCTGAGCAAGCATCTTTTAAACTTTAGATCTGTAGTGTCTGCTTTTTGCTGGCTGTATGTGAGCGGAGTAATACACAAAGGGTAAAGAGGCTGTACGGGTGCTGATATTACTTAAATATATCACGGCTAGCAGCCAATCAGATTTGAGAACCAGACAGAACTGTTGTGTGTGTGTATATATATATATATATATATATATATATATATATATATAGTTTGTATCTATAGTCTGGTTTTAACAAAATACATAACATAATTCACAAAACCACACACCCAAACTGCAAAATACCTCATATATCCTGCAAAACGAAGCACAACAACCAAAACTACACACAGCATTATCAAAATCAAACTTTTGAATGAAATCGCACACACTTAATTCATCATACCAGAATTTTTGCAATTTTTGCACACTTTTGCATAATGGAAAGCACCCCCAACTTTAGAATGCTTTGCCATAATACTAAAACATGTATCAGAATGTTTACATGCATATATATATATAAATGTTGGTCTTTGGTCGTGAAGTCCTCTACCTGCTCTACCTCTACCTCTCACTCTTCTTATTCTTAACCTCCCTCTTACTCTTTCTCTCTCTGTGATGTCTTCCGTTGTTGTTGTTGTAATAAAATAGGTTCTCACCTGTGGTCTTTTCATAGTGCTTACATCCTGATTAAAGTGTTAACAATTAACTATTGAGGTGTTTGGCCAGGTGGCACATGTAATAAGTGAATTAGCTCATGTAGTGTCATTTTGAATGGCAGTGTTTTGAAATGGCAAACATATGACTTTATGCCAGATTGTTGTGTCTTATGCAGAGAGTTTTCAGTGCATTTAAAAATGTAAAAAAATTTGAAATGCAAAATGTGTGTAAAGCAGGAAATGTAAGAAAAGGTTTTGCTGTTTGTGTGTGTCAGTTTACATTATTGTGCTGTGCATGACATTTTAGCGTGTTAGCATTTGGCAAAAAAATAAAAAAATATATATAAATAAATATAATAAATAAAATAATCAAATAAAAAATGTTGCAACAGAATGTGTGTGTATCTGAAACTAGTTCTGTGCATGTGAACAATCTAATACATATTTTAGTATTATGGCAAAGCATTCTAAAGTTGGGGGTGATCTTCATTATGCACAATTTAGCAGTGTGTAGTTGGTTAGGCAAAAATCTGGTAATATAAATGAAGTGTGTGCCATTTCATGCAAAAGTTTGATTTTCATAATGCTGTGTGTAGTTTGGTTGCAGACAGTGCTTCATGTTGCAAGATATATAAGGTATTTAGCTGTTTTGGTCTGTGGTTTTGTGAATTGTGTTAAGTTCTTTGATAAAACCTGACTAGTTAAATTTTTTTTTTTTTAAATGTGTGTTAGCAATTGGAAAAAAAACTGTAATGTTCAAATATCAAGAATTTTAACCCGGAAAGTTCCTTTAAAACATTGTAATTTCCTTAAAAACTAAAGGCTTGGTTTATCTTCAGGTGCTTTCACTGTTTAAGGTTAAAAAAAGGGGGGAAAGAAGAGGGAAAAAGTTGGTGTATAGTGTAAGTGAAAAAAAAAGAATAGTGGAAAAAACGAAGGAAAAGGAGAAAGAGAAGAGTGTGGGAAAAATCAATAAGACTCCCACTCCAAATCCGTCTGCAAAAGAAGCAATCAACCACCTCTCTTTTTCTTATATTCTCTCTCTCTCTCTCTCTCTCTCTCTCCCTCTGTAGGGCGGATAAACAGAAAGACCTATTGGTACCTCTCTACCATCAGAGCACATCCAGACACACAGACTGTCCCAGACACACACACACAAAGTGCAGAAGTGAAGTGGGCACCCCAGACTGTTATATTCAGCCCATTGAAAGCTGCCTGGAGTATTACACATCCAAAAGCAGGGATCACGGAGAAAGGAAACAAAAAAAAAAAAAGACTGCTAAAGAAAGAAAGAAAAACGAACAAAGAAAGAAAGAAAGAAAGAGGAGTTTTAAGTAAATAATATTAATTGTGCCTTTGCTTCATGTTTTTATGTGCAAAAATGAGTAATTGTGTTTGAGTGTAAGTGTGTGCATACAAATATACATGTGATGAGTCTGATCGGTAAGAATGAATGGTATTGCTGATTGTTTAGGGAGGCCCAGAGCGATAGCCAATAATAATCCTGCATTTGAATAAACAGCTTTTTTCCCTCCCTGGAATTTTTGTGTCTCTTCCGCCCTCCCTATTCACACCCTTTACTGTACATAATAGAAACAACAGAATAACATCGAAAGAAGAAGAAAAGGGAGGAGAAAGGCACTCTGAAGTGGCTTAGGTCTATCTATGCTATTTGTCAATTGAAACTGAGGCAAGCTGAATGCCTTTGTGTGTGTGTGTGTGTGTGTGTGTGTGTGTGTGTGTGTGTGTGTGTGTGTGTGTGTGTGTGTGTGTGTGTGTGTGTGTGTGTGTGTGTGTGTGCACGCACGCATGCTTGTACAAGACTGCGTGAAGCATTTCTGTGTAGCCACATGGCAGATGGGGGCATGAATGTGAGTGTGTTTGTTTCTCCCTGCGTGTGTTTTTCTGCATGTGTAACAGATGGTTAGTTGTGGTATGCGTGTTGCACTTGATGTACTCAATAGCAAGCTGGACAGTGTCCAGTGGATTTTGAATACAGTACACAATACTGTCTGACTGATGAAAGACACACCTGCTTCACCGCATATACTGAACATTAAAATACTGGAAGTGTTTTGAAAATGAGTCTGAATGTACTGTGCACAACTCAATACATTTGTTTTTATTAGCAGTGGTGTAAAGACTACATATAATTATCGTTTGCCAACTGGTCAATGAAATCATATTTAGTGAGAAAAACAGCTGGTAAAACACAAGCACCGTTTCCTTGTTTTTGTCTTTTCGTGTTTTTATGTGTGCACTTATTTCCTGTACTTTCTCTTAATGAAGAGACCAAAACTTTCAATTTAAAACTCATTAAAACTTTGCAAAAAAATCCCTAGAAAATCAGGTGCCCTATGACTTTTGCAAAGTACATTATCTAAACTGTATCAGACTGAATATGCTACAGTATATACCTCATATATATTTATAATAATTCCTTACATTTATGTGGCACTTTTTCTGGAAACTCAAATCACTTTACACATTTTTTGGGGGAATTTTCTCATCCACCACCAGTGTGCAGCTGGATGACACAACGGCAACCATATTGCACCACCACAAACCAGCTGATTGGTGGAGAGGAGACAGAGTGATGAAGTAACATGGGGATGGTTAGAAGGACAGAGGCCAGTGGGCAAATTTGGGACATGGGATTTTTAATATATCATCTATAACATCAGTGGTCACTGAGCAGTATAAATTCACCATCCAGATACTGGGGCATCAGGGCCCACACAGACCACAGGTTGAGCACCCCCTGCTGGCCTCACTGACAGCACTTCTGGCAGCAACCTAGCCGTCCCATGTGGTCTCCCATCCATGTACTTATCAGGCACATCCCTGCTTAGCTTCAGTTGACAACCATGTGAGAGTTGCAAAGAGCTAGCTGCCAGCAATTATTATATGTATCAATTGGCAGTTATGTGATAAAGCTATGTACAGAGTAAAGGTCTAACATTTAAATACATATTAAATCCTGTATTGAACTTCAAAGTGATAAAACTTCATGTTATTAACAATAATTAATTCTACTCGATTATCTCTGTGAAGCTGCTTTGACAATGGAAGTCGGTGGAAAACCAACATGTTCAAAACAACTTTTGTGTTTTGCTAAATAAAGTAAATCACATGTGTTAATTTTTTTTTATTAATTATTTGTTTTACAGTTTTTCTCGATTGCTAAAACAATTTCTGAAAACAAAGAAACCTCTGTTTTCTTAATCCATATATAGTTCTCAGGGAGAAGTACATTTTTAGATTTGATGTTCAAGGCCATACAATTTGTTCATTGTACAGTAAACAGCCTACAATGCACTGTACTACAGTTTACAATACTAAAAGGGACAAAAGCATAGAAACTTGATCGATTTGCTGTTTCTTGTCTTTGAGCTGTGTCCGGCCAGAGCCCAGTGACAATGTCACAAGCAATATTGTACTTCTGAGGCAACAGGAGAAGAAACCTTGTGTGCCATACCCAGCCCTAACATGATTCATCACCTATATCACCACATGCTAAATCCATTACTTGCAGCAGATTTAGGCCTAATCCCAATTCTATTTTAGTACCCCTACCCCTTCCCCTTGGCCTTTACAACCGAGGGTTAAAGGTAAGGGCTTTAAAATTTAACCCTAAGAATTAGGACAGCACTACACCAACTGCACACCTCATCCTGTGATATGGTCTCGTGATCTCATGCTTCATGTGAGATCAGACAATCGCGACTGCTGTAGTGATTCCAGTTGTGTTATTTTTTGGTATTTCTCTTCAGGAAATCACTGAAGGCATATATTATGTTATCATAACGATCTAATGTGGAAATAAGATCGTAACTGTACGGTGTATTACAGTTTTTCTTGTTTGCTTTGACCTGGTTAAAGAAACTAGGTTCCACTTCATTTTCATTTTCACTATCCCAGCAGAGCAAAAGACCGGTCTTGCAAATGTGTAAACTCTTTCTCATTGGGTTGACACATTTTCCCCACCATTTTTCAAAACAGCTAACACGGATGTCATTCAAGCAGTCCAAACTCCATTGTTTTAGTTATGGTAACCAAACAGAAACCATCTATTCCTAACTATTAGAAAGTACCAACATCAGTATGAATTCAGTGAAGCACCGGTTTGACACTACTTCACACAAATCTTTAAAAAGCAATCAGTCTGCAAACCTTATAAAACAGTGGAAGGTCTGTGTTGTTCTGTGACAGAATGGATGGAGGAGGTCAATAGTGGCTATGTCTTATACTCCCAATAGATTTGACTGTATATTGGTTTACATGCGTTTTCTCTAATATTTACAGTATTTTATTACTTTTGTCTGTTTTTACAGTATTTCAGTTTTCAGCCACAGTTTGAAAATTGTCATGAATTCAATATAAATGTAATCAAAGCATTTCTTATTCTGGATTCAATTCTTTGCAAAAAGGCAAATTTGACAGTCCAAATAGAAAGACAACAAATGGTATTGGCAATAGGCTATACAAGCAATGGCGGTGCACTGAGTTCTGTATTTTGTATTTTGTTGTCCATTGTGTAATGATTAATTGAAAGAGCTCATATACTTGTTTGCAAGTTGTGTTGTTTGAAGGTAAAACTAGCTTTTGTTGCATATTTTAAATGTTTTGACACGGTATGTGCCTTTTGCAAGCAAAATGTGTCATTTTGACCATGAGTGCCGCCGTTTAGGCCTGTGTGTAAACTGTTTTGAAAATGTGGAGTTTCAGTTGACAACTACATTTAAGCAATTGAGAAAAACTGTAACACAGTGGCCATATTCATCAATGGTAACACACCAAAAACAACTTTAAAATTATAGCAGACACTGTAAAAAGCTCATTCTCAGCCACTAAACACTACTGACAGGGTTTTCGAATGTCAGAATGTTGTGGGACTGCTGTACAGGAGTTATTAATAGGGATTATAGATCACAAAATTTAGCGTTTTTTTTTTTTTTTTAAACATGTTTGTTTATCTAATTTGTGGAAATTCTTATTTCCGGGTTCAGCAATTCTGCTGAAAATTGTGGCAGGTGTATTCTGGGAAATTTTCTTACCCCTTGGTTTCGAGTGTGGTCCTGAAAAATCTTTGTTCGAAGGGCTATTCACCCCTTCATCTTAGCCCTATGTCTTCAAGCTAAAGAGAACTGGGACACCCCTACCCCTTGGCTTGCATGCGCGAAACAAGGGGTAGGGGTAAGGAGATGGGGCTAAGGGCTAGGATTGGGCCTTACTCTGGTGTAGGTTTGTCAATCATACACATTCCATTTCCAAGAGTAGAAAAACTCCTCAAGTGGATTCAGAATAGGAAAATATCGAGGGGCATACAAGTTCATAAACTACCCATTGCACTCGTCCTCTCACATTGTTTCTTCTATCCATGCTTCTTACCTTCAGTAACCTGTTTACTGGTTTATAGTGCTTGTGTCACTTCATTTAAAAAATGTGACATAAATGTTGAGTGGTTGTGTGTAAGCAATGACATATTTTCTCTATTTGTATTTGATTCTTGCTACTTGTGTTTTCCAGTATGGATGGCATGCATTAGAGTGCAGAATGTGTTTTGGAAAATGTGTTTAGAATTTTGCTGTAAATTCTAGTCTAAGTAAGATCTGCACATTGTATTTTACCTTGTGAGATGATTAAGTGTTTTGACAGCAGACTACACAATTAGCTAAATGAGGTCAGGCAACTGAGAACTTAGTTTAGCCAATGGGTTTTAATGTTTTAACAATTGAGAAAAACTGTAATGCAATAGGAATCATGCACTAACAATAAATAATGACTGGCCTGCTTTATAAAAGCAAACAGTAAAGTATTTATACTAATTATATAGTGCTAATTCATGATGATTTAAAATGAGTGGTTTGTTAAGTAAGTGCATAGAGTTTGAGCTGATGACAAGCTAATTTAATTAAATGTGATGTGACAAATCAAAATTAGCTTAAAATAGTGAAGATGCTGAATGCATTAATCAAGCCAGTCAAATCTGGTATGTACTGAAAGAAGTATATAGTCCACATGCAGTTCACTCACAGTTAGTGGTGCCACTGACTGTGCTCATTTTTATGCAAGCAGCTTATTATATACTATGCTTGCAGAGTTTGTTTTACAGTGTGTTGCTGTATAAATTTGCAAAATATTTTGTTGTAGTGTTAGTTGTATAGTGAACCCACATGTGTGAGTAACTTAAAATTTTGTATTTCAATTAGCAGCAGAGGTTTCTTTGTTTCTTTTTGTGTCTCAGCACTTTTCAAATAAATGAAGTCATTTGCAAGAAATAATAATAAACTTAACCAACATCAAATAAACATGAATGTAAATGTCATTAAGTTATCCACCTATTACGTACTTAAAGAGTCTGGAAATGTTTATTATTTGTGTTTATAAAATAAAATTAAAATTTCGTATGGAAGCAAAGTGGCGCAGTGTGTAGCAAAATCGCCTCACTGCAAGAAAGTCACTGGTTCCAGCGCTGGCTGGGTCTCATGGACCCACCATGTTCTTGTGGATTTCCTCTGGGTGCTCCAGTTTCCCC